GGTAGAGAGGGAGGGAGGGAAGGAGGGAGAGAGAAATTGATACAAATACTAAATAAAAAATAAATGATTGATAGACAAATACTAAATAATAGATGGATGGATGGATGGATGGATGGATGGATGGATGGATGGATGGATGGATGGATAGATAGGAGAGAGAGAGAGAGAGAGAGAGAAAGGGAGTCAGTCAGACAGACAAATCCACCCACCCACCCACACACACACACAAAAACACAAACACAGATATAGCCAGATAATAGATTCTACTTTTTAAGCATTTCAAAGCAGGGTTAACTTTGACCAAAAAAAAAAAAAAACAAGGAGGAGAAGAAGAAGAAGAAAAGAGGAAATTAACAAAATCTTGTCCTGCAAAATACAGACTGGGGAAACCCCAGGGCAAGTTTACCATCAGCTAAAATCTGATTATTTTTATTGTTGTTATTTAAAAAAAATCTGGTGGTTTTTTTTTTCATTTTTCAACAGCTGCAATTCAGCCCGTGGGAAGTCGTGTTTAAACTGCAATTTGTTTGCAGGCTCCATTGTTCCTTCTCCGGAGAGGGGGGAAATCGCAATTATTTCCTTTTTTTTTTTTTCCTCCTGGTGTTTTTTGCTTCCAATTCAAGTTTTTATTAAGGATCTTAAAATAATCTCCTTTCCGGGGTGCCTAAATGGTCGAATCGTTGCTGGAAACAAGCCAAGGTTTCTCCATGTCGGCTTGGCATGAAATACAGATAATCCTCAACTTACAATGGTTCGTTTATAGTGACCATTTGAAGCAACCACAGCTTTGGAAAAAGGACCGTTTTTCACACTTAACGACCATGGCCAGCATCTCCATGTTCACGCGATTAAAATGGGGAGGATTGCCAAACTGACTCATAGTTATGACAGTTGCCGTGTCCCGGTTTTGCGACCTTCTGACCAGCAAGGTCAATGGGGAAATCTGATTCACTTAACAACAAACTTACAAACTGCAGTGATTCACTTAAGGACATGAGCAAGGAATGTCGTAAAAGGGGGCACAACTGTCACCTAACAAATGTCTCCCTTAATGACAGAGTTGGGCTCAATGGCAGTCGTAAGTCGAGGACTACCTGTACTCCAAACACCCAGAAGTTAATGATGGGCCTGGAGGAATTTAAGAAAACAGCATGGAAATAATTTTTTATATTTCAATTTCAATTAGCCAAAGCTTTAAAAACAGGATTCTCCTCCAAAGCTTCTCTACAGCATAGGATCAAGTGGTGGGAAGGGACCTTGGAGGTCTTCTAGTCCAACCCCCTGCTCAAACAGGAGACCTTTAGAGAATAATTGAGTTGGAAGGGACCTTGGAGGTCATCTAGTCCAACCCCCTGCTCAAGCAAAGGAACCTATACCATTCCTGACAAATGACTGTCCAGCAAGACCAAACTAGCATGTTAATGCAGGCCTTGTTCTCAAGGTCGCCGCAGAGATCTTGCAATACAGGTAGTCCTCGACTTATGACCATTTCTGTTGCTAAGCGAGACACTCATTGAATTCTTCTACGTTCGACCACCTCTCTTGCCACAGCTGTTAAGTGAATCCCTCCAGTCGTTAAGTCAGCCACACGGTTGTTAAAGCAGATCTGGCTTCCCCACTGACTTTGCTCGAAAGAAGGTCACAAAAGGGGACGCCATGACCGTCATAAATACGAGTCGAGGGGCCAAGCACCTGAATTTTGATCCCGCGGCCACAGGGATATGGCAACAGCCATTATGTGTGAACAACCGGTGACAAGAAAATTTGTAAAATGAGACTGAACTCCCTGAAAAATCTCACTTACCAACATAAATTTTGGGCTATGTTCTCGTTGTAAATCAAGGACGGCCTGAGTTATTTTGAGCTGACGAGCAAATTGTTAATTATATGATTGTTTTCCGAGAAACCTCTCCCTACAGCCAGCAGAAATAATTCTGAATATCCTCCTAGCAATTAAAAATGCCGTGACTTTATAAGCTGGATGACAGGCTATTATTAAAAAATAAATAATGATAATATCAAATTACCCAGCAGGGAAAAATGAGTTTTTAATTCTAGTTTCTGCTTGAATAAACACACTACAGCCGCGGAATAAATTTGGGTTTTAAATTTAACCTACTTCCAAATAGCGAATAAAGAGTCAGGAAACAGATCCACGTTGGTGAATAAAACTACACTGAGTGTGGAATTTTTTACGTATAGGTAGACCTATACGTAAATGTGAGGACCTATAATAGGTTCTCACATTTAAGACTGGTCCTCACATTTATGACTGGTTCTCGCTTTTATGACAGGTATCCTAATTTATGACACATCCTCAAATTTATGACTGGTCTTCACACTTATGACAGATGCCCACACTTATGATAGGTCCTCACACTTATGACAGACCCTCACACCCGGTCCAAACAATTATGATTTGTCCTCGCACTTATGACTGGTCCTCACTTATGACTGGTCATCGAACTTATGATGGATCTTCACACTTATGACAGGTCCTCACACTTATTACTTATCCTCACACTTATGACTGGTCCTCGCACTCTCACCTGGTCCTCACACTTATGACCAGCTCACACTTATGACCATCACAGCATCCCCCACAGTTGCATGATCAAAATTTAGGTGCTTGCAAACCAGCATGTTTTTATGTGATTGCCGTCTGACCACAGGAGAAGCCTGACTTGCTTCATGGTGGTGATTCACTTAATGACTGCAGGGATTCTCTTAGGAACCAGGGCAAAAACAAAAAAAATCAGGCATGATTCACTTAGCAACCATCTCGTTAAGCCAGTTGTCTCCATACTTGACAACTTTTAAGACTTATGGGCTTCTTGGCTTAAATTTGTGGACTTCAACTCTCCCAGAATCCCACAAACATCTCAGCTGGCTGAGGCATTCTGGGAGTTGAAGTCTACAAATTGAAGACTTGTGGACTTCAACTCCCAAAATTCCACAGCCATTTTCAGCCAGTGAGGCATTCTGGGAGTTGAAGTCCACAAGCCTTAAAGCTCTCAAACCTAGAGACCCACGTGCTAAGCAATGGAAATCCGTGTTTCAATTGCAGTGGTTAAATTGAGGACTTCCCTTACCGAATTCCCAACAGGCAGATGGAGAGAAGGAAGGGTGTGCAAGACTCCTACAACTGCCTGGGCCAAGATGGCCGGTCTCCAGAGCTCCTGGTCAGCCCAGATGTGAGTTGCTGCATTTGCGACGCACATCTGGAAACTATCAGGTTCGAGAAGGAGGATAAAGGCAACAATTCTCCCTTTGCAATTTCCTATTTTTTTTCCATCGCTTCCTCCCAGCCGGGAAGCAGCACACCTTAAAAGGAACATTCTCGCATATTATATGGCACAGTCCCAATTATATCAGCTCCCTTTGGCCTCCAAAAATGAGCTAATTTCCCCTAAATTTCCTTGGACTTTTTTCCCACGCGAGACACAAAAAAAAGACCACAACTACGAAGTCACAATTCAGCAACGAGCTGCCTTGACGGGAATCCAAATACATTCACATCCAGAAATCCAGAAATTATAAATTCAAATTCTCCTTTCACGTAGATTCCTTCTGTTGCTCTGTGCAAGCTTTAAGCAGAGATGAAACCAAGATTACGTGCAGAAGGCAGAGATTTAGCCCAAAGCTGCAGCTTTAAGATGCCAGGGTTAAAGGATCACCATATATGAACATTTAAGGTTAAATTCTTTGCCTTCAAAAATGTTTAATTTTTTTTTTATAAAAACGGAGAGGATTTTAACACAAATCGGGCTGAATAAACTTGGAATGAGTTGGACTAGAAGACCTCCAAGGTCCCTCCCAACTCTTTTATTCTGTATTCCTGGGGATGAAAAGAAAAACTGTAAAGAACTAAACACTAATAGAGAAGAATTTTTATTGTTTGGGGTGGAATTGTGGGGTCCGTGGGGCTCTCTGAGCTTGCAAACGTTTTATGACCCAACTAGGGAATGTTATCAGTGCTGGAAAAAAACAAAGAGTATGCAGAGAGGGAGGAGGAGGAGGAAGGGGAGAGGAGGAAGAAAAGGAGGAGGAAAGGGAGGAAGACGAGACGGAAAAAGAGGAGGAATATGGGGAGGAAGAAGAGGAGGAGGAGGAGGAAGGACTTTGGGATCCTTGGTGCTCCCTGAGCTGGATGGTTTTCTTGTAGAGGTTTCATGAGTCAACTAGGGAACGCCATCAGTGCCAGAAAAATATAGGATATGCAGAGAGGAAGAAAAGGAGGAGGAAGGGGGAGGAGGAGGAAAGAGAAGGAAAGGAAAAAGGAGGAGGAAGCGGAAGAGGAGGAAGGGGGAGGAGGAGGAAAAGGAGGAAGCAGAAGAGGAGGAAGAGGAGGAAGGGGGAGGAGGAGGAAAAGGAGGAAGCAGAAGAGGAGGAAGAGGAGGAAGGGGGGAGGAGGAGGAAAAGGAGGAAGCAGAAGAGGAGGAAGAGGAGGAAGGGGGGAAGAGGAGGAAAAGGAGGAAGCAGAAGAGGAGGAAGAGGAGGAAGGGGGGAGGAGGAGGAAAAGGAGGAAGCAGAAGAGGAGGAAGAGGAGGAAGGGGGGAGGAGGATGAAAAGGAGGAAGCAGAAGAGGAGGAAGAGGAGGAAGGGGGGAGGAGGAGGAAAAGGAGGAAGCAGAAGAGGAGGAAGAGGAGGAAGGGGGAGGAAAGGGAGGAGGGAGAGGAGGAAAGGAAGTAAGAGAAGAGGAGGAGGAAAAGGAAGAGGGGACGATGGAGAGGAGGAAGGAGAGAAAAAAAGGAGGAGGAGGAAGCAGAAGAGGAGGGAGAAGAGGAAGGGGGAGGAGGAGGGAAAGGAGGAGAGAAACAACAAGGAGGAGGAATTGAGGAAGAGGAAAGGAAGAGAAGAGGAGGAAAAGGAAGAGGAGGAAGTGGTGTGTCTCCGGAACGCCCAGAATAATCTCCGCACAAAAGGACGAAAGTTGACCCCGAGTTCAGGCATATCCCGAAACACGCGACATGGTTCCTACAAGGGATAGTAAGCCTTACCTTAAGACGAGAAATCTCTCTGCAGGTCTCAAAGTTCGCAGATCTCTTTCTCTGGAAAAAAAAAAACCACAAAGAAAAGGAAAATTGAAAAAGCGTGATTGGCTTTTCGAGAAATTCTTGTCTTCCAAATATCACTTCGTCACGTTAACCCGTACGAGATTTTCATTCATCGTTATTATCTTTCATTTTTTGGGGGTGCGGTCCCGTTTGGCTTTTCCCGTGCTTGGAGGATCAACGAGTAATTAAGGGAATAATCCGAATGACAAAGCTACTTAAATCGTTGTTCGGGATCAAGTTTGATTAAGTTAATACTCTTTGTAGTGTTCCATTTACCGAAGGGGTGAGTGGGACAAAAAGGGGGACGGCGTAGGATGGTTTAAGGTCACGTTTCCAAACTTTCGGGGAATCCTCGATTTACAATCACAACTGAGGCCAAAATTTCACTTATTAAAGGGTCTACACGAGTGAAAAATTTAATTCTTTTATGAGTAGTCCTCAATTTACAAACAAAATTGAGCCCAAAATTTAACGTGCTAAAGGGTCTTACGAGCCGAAAAATTGTTTCTTTTATAACGAGTCCTCGACTTACGACAACAATCAAGGCCAACATTTCTGTTGCTAAACAAGGCATTTATTAAGTGACTTTTGCCCCACTTTTACAACCTTTCTTGCCGCAGTTGTTAAGCAACTCACTGCCGTCGTTAAAGTGAGCCAAAGGATTGTTAAGGGAATCCGGCTTCCCTATTGACTTTGCTCGTCAAAAGGTCGCAAAAGGGGGCCACGTGATTCCTGGAACGCTGCGACAGTCATAAATACAAGTCAGTCGCCGAGCGTTTGAATTATGACCACATGGGGATGCTGCGGTGGTTATAAGTGTGGAAAAGGGTCAGAAGTCAGTGCTGCTGTCACTTTGAACCATCATGAAATTAATGGTCATAAGTCAAGGACCACCTTATGAGAGTTTTGATTTTCATATTGTACATGGAAAAAAAAAACCTTTCTGATGTGTTTTCCATCATTTATTCCTGTGGGTCACCCCTCCCCCACCTCATCGAATAAAAAATAAGTAGAAAAATAAGTATTAAGCTGTTTCGTTGACTTTTATCATTTTAGAGATTTATTTGAGATTATCCTTTAAGGCTGAAAAATGTCCCAGAAAATTATCATGTTTTAGGCCTAAAGCTTCTATCACTCCCTCTCTCTTTCCTTCCTTCCTTTCATTCTTTCTTTCTTCCTTGATTCTCTCTATCCCTTTTTCTTTCTTTCTTTCTTTCTCTCTCTCCCTACCTCATTCCCTCCCTCCCTTCCCCTCTTTCCTTCCTTTCTTTTTTTTCTTTCTTGTTTCTCTCCCTCGTTTTTCTTTCTCTTTCCTTCTTTTCTTCTCCCACCCTTTTTTTCTTGTTCCTCTCTATTCTTCTTTTTTCTTTCTTTCCCTTTCTTTCTTTTTTCTTTCTTTCTCCAGCTTTCTTTCTTTTCTTTCTTTCTCCATCTTTCTTTTTTCTCTTCCCTCCTCCCTCTCTTTCTTATTCTTTTTCCCTTTCCCTCTCCCTTTCTTTTTTTCTCCCTCCCTCTTTCCCCCTTTCCTTTCTTCTTCTCACTACTTCATTCCCTCACTTTCTTTCTTTCCTCTCTCCCTCCCCTTTTCTTTTTCCTCTTTCTCTCCCTCTTTTCTCTCCATTTCTCTTTCTTTCTCTCACTCATTCCATCCCTCCCTTTTTTCCTTTCTTTCTATCAATCTTGCTTGGTTTTTCTTTGTTTTTCTTTCTTTCTTCTTTCCCTCCCTCTTTCCTTTTTTCTTTCTCTCTCTCCCTCATTCTATTTCTCCCTCTCTTTTTCTCTCCCTCCCTTTCCCCTCTCTCTCACATACTTCTTTCTTTCTTTCTTTCTTTCTTTCTTTCTTTCTTTCTTTCTTTCTTTCTTTCTTTCTTTCTTCTTTCTTTCTTTCTTTCTTCTTTCCTATTTTTAATTTTTAATAAACAAAATTGTGGGGTTTTTTTGGTCCTTATCCACACGAGAGGACCCAACCTGGCTTAGCCCCAAAACTGACAGCCTGGATCTCTACAAAAATTAAGTTTACCATCTGCTTGGTTTAATAGCTGTGATAAGCCTAGATGCTGGCACAGAACCATGTGAAAACGCAGGGAGTCCTCGACTTACGACCAACATAGACGCCAAAATTATAGCTAAGCCCAGACAGTTGTTAAGTGAGCTTTACCTCACTTTACGACCTTTCTCCCAGTGGTTGTTAAATGCATCACTGCAGTTATTTGTAACACAGTCATTAAAAGTAATCCCCATTACAAGAGTCCTCAACTTACGAACGCAAACGGAGTCCAACATTTCTGCTGCTAAGCGAGACAGTTCTTAAATGGGTTTTGCCCTGTTTTACGACCTTTCTTGCTGCAAATTGTTAAGTGAATCCCTGCAATTAGCAGCGTGGTCGTTAAGCGAATCTGGCTTCCCTATTGAATTTGCTCGTTCAGAAAATGGCAAAAGGGGATGGCGTGACCCCAAGACAGTCATGAATATGAGTCAAGTTGCCAATTGTCCGAATTGTGATCACCTGACTGTGGGGATGCTGTCCCCACAGTCGTTAAGTGTTTGAAATGGTCATAAGTCCCTTTTTCATGGCCGTTGTAACTTGGTGAATAGTCACTAAGCAAATCGTTTTCAGTCAAGGACTATCTGTAGTTTAATTTAACATTGCAATCCTATTTTAGGATGCAACAACTCTTCGGGACCCAAATTTGCTGTTCTCTACTGTTTTTTGTGTAGTTCCCTTCCAATCCCACGACACAACCCAACACACACACATACAAATTGACAAAAATATACTTTACAATGAATGTGCATGTCGGCATGAAGTCACCCTTGAGCAACGTGAGCTCCAACACGCAGCTTACTATGTTGTGTAGGTAGCTGGGTTTGTGGGTCCAGTTATACAACCACACAGAACTACACACAACCACAAAAACACCCAATCACACAAACGAACATAATGGAGAGAGATGAGGCAGTGAAGAATTCTGGGAATTGAAGTCCTTCCCTTTTAAAGCATGTTGGCTGGGGGATTCTGGGAGTTGAAGTCCTCCCCCCCTTAAAACGCAGGCTGGGGGATTCTGGGAGTTGAAGTCCTCCCATCTTAAAGCCATCTGGGGGATTCTGGGAATTGAAGCCCACCCCTCTTGAAGCATGCTGGCTGGGGGATTCTGGGAGTGAAAGTCCTTCCCTCTTAAAAGCATTCTAGCTGGAGAATTCTGGGAGTTGAAGTCCAAGTTTTGCACATTGGGATCTGCAGAATTTACTCCCACATAACGACGATCCCTTGAATGCAGAGGCCGCGTTCCAGAAATACGACACTTCTTGCCAAGCAATTAAAAAAAGATTTTTCCAGCCACCAAATGTGTCCTCCCAAGGCAAGAACATTTTCCGACCATGTTGTGTGTTGCCATAACAAGCCTCAGCGGTGAGTATCCATTCCTAAAGTGACTACTACTGGTTTTAACTGGAAGGTTAGATAGGGCTGCCAATTGCAGCTAATCCTCGACTTACGACCGTTCATTTAGTGAACATTCCAACTTACAACGGTACTGAAAAACAAGACATGGGACCGTTTCTCACACTGGTGCAGCCTCTGCATTTATTGAACAGATAGTCCTCGACTTATGACGGCCGATTAGACCAGAATTTCCGTCGATGAGCAGGTTTTGCCCTGTTTTGCGACCTCTCTCACCAAAGAGACTGCAGTTCTTCCATTAGTCACACGTTGTTAAGCGAATCTACTTTCCTCATTCATTTTACTTGTAAAGACGGTCACAAAACAGGATTGCATGGCCCTGGGAAACGCCACGGTCGTGAATATGAATTATGACCACCAGCAAGTCCAAAATTTCTGTCATTAAGTGAGACATGTTTTAAGTCAATTTGGGCCCCATTTACAGCCTTCCTCACCACCGTTGTTAAGTGAAACACTGCAATTCTTCAGTTAGTGACACAGTCGTTAAGTGAATCTGGCTTCCCCATTGACTTTGCCCGTCTGAAGTTCGCAAAAGGGGATCATGTGACACCGGGACACTGTGACCGTCATAAGTCCGAGTCAGTTGCTAAATGTCGGGATCTTGATCATGTGACCTTGGGGACACTGAAACGGTTGTAAGTGTGAAAAACAAGCGTAAGTCCCTTTTTTGGGGGCCGTTGTAACTTTGAATGATCACTAAGTGAATTGTTGTATGTCGAGGACTACCTGTTTAGTCCTCATTAAAATGAGTTCAGATTTCAAAGTTTCTTTTATTTAAATAAATAACATTAATTTGAATTTATAGGCCTGTCCAACAATGATTAATTTGATTTATACCACTCAGGAAAATGTACTTTCTGGTGAGATGGGTTAAGTCCTTGACTTACATCCATTCGTTTAGTGACTTTGATATTACAACCCCACTGATAAAAAGGGACTTATGACTGGTCCTCGCACTTACGACCGCTGCAACATTCTCCCGTCAGGTGGAGGATGTTTACTGCGGCTGAAAGATCCCTCAGTCACTGGATCTCCCTATGGGATCTTCCCAGCCGGTTTCCAATAAGCAAAGTCAAGGAAGGAAGCCTGATTCGCTTAACAACTGTTTAAATTCACATAACTAGAGTGATTCACTTAATAACCATGGCAAAAAAGATCGTAAAATCGTTTCTCATTTAACAACTGCCTTACTGGGCAGATGGGACAATCTGGCCCAATTTTGGCTGTAAGTCAAATACTACTAGTGATAATTCAGGAAGTCCTCGAGTTATAACGGTTCCTTTAGTGATTGTTCAAAGTTACAACGATCTCAGAAAAAAGCGACTTAAGACCATTTTTCACACTTACGACCATCATACTATCTCCGTGGTCATGTGATCGAAATTCATATGCTTGGAACTGACTCGTATTTATGACGGTTGCAATGTCCCAGGGTCCCGTGATCTGCTTTTGCGACCTTCTGACAAGAAAACTCAATGGTGAAGGCAGATTCACTTAACAACTGGGTTACCAACTGAAGAATTGCAGTGTTTCA